GGGGCGGGGGGGGGGGGGCGCCCCGGCGCCGTGGGGAGAGTTCTTGGCGGCCTGTGTGTGAAGCCGGCGCTCCCCGTTCCTGTGGTGGTCGTGGGTGGGCTCGATGGGGAGTTAAAATTCACGCGGGGCCAGGACACGAAAGGGGCCTTCTGTAGCTCGCGATCCTGCCAGTACGCAAGGGCAGATCTGAGCCAGCAGACGCGTATGGCCTGCATCCTCCTCGCATGTGCCGAACGACCAATGGGCATTTACTGAATGCACCTCTTGGTCGTCTGTTCCTGGAAATCCTGCAAAATGATGGGTCTAACTGGTGTCTGGGGCCGATTTATTTAAATGTCTGCAACAAAACCTGTGAACCATTCTGACGTTCTAAGCGTTTTCTATTTATGTTAGAGTACTTGCAGGATAGAAAATGAACAGGAGCTAAGGTTTCCCAGTTTTGATGAAGTGTAACAAGAAATTAAATGTCTTTACCTCCCTAAGTGCTGAGCTGCCATCGTGTTTTAGCTCCTTCGTATTCTATTTCATGGTAGAGTACCATGGTAGGTACCACCCCTTTGTATCACACTCTAGTCATTCTCAAGCTACTTCATTTTCTAAAGTCCTGCCAAGAAACCCCTTCCTTACCCTTCTTAAATAAAAAAAGGACACCTAACCATTATCGCTCAGCTTTTAATATGTATAATGGAATTCTGTTCCAATAATGCTTTTTTTTCTGTCCCGATTCTTTCATGATCCATTAGAAGTCCCAGGTTGTGGTAGTGCTTTCAAAGCTAGAATCAGACAGCACTCCTGCTCTATGGTTGGTTAACTGAGGCTGGACTGGCAATGTTCCAGAAGTCAAGCGATTGAAATCACATCAGAAGAGCTTTATTTGCAAAGAAAATACTGTAAATTAACTAAACTTACATCCCAGTTTATATACATTATATATCTATTATATCTATATATATATATCTTTATCTATATATATATATTTATATACACACAGAGATCAAATTGTGACTAGAGCTGCTGGCCCACAGAGCAGCCTAAAAGTTGCACCCCTTCTCCCATGTCTTGCCCCACTGCAAGAGGGGCTGACTTGCGCCTGCAGCTTTCCTGTCATTCAGAGTCTGAACAGAGTTTGACTAACATTACTGTTTTAAGACACCTAATGACCAAACTTCCCTTGGTGGGTCTTATTTTAAACTCTAATGAAGCCAACTGCTAACACCATTAAAAACAGGGAAGCCTGATACAGAACAGTTTGTAAATAAATGGAAGCAGAACCGCTGGCTTGGAGCCTTGACCCTCATGGCTGGTCGAAGGGCAGAAACAGAGGAGGCTTCATTCTCAGATGGAATTTTCAGCCTCCATGCTGCAGGGCACTGTTTCCAAAGTGAAACAGACTTACATCACAAGAAGTGATGGGCACTGGCCTTGCTGCAATCATCTTTTAAAATTATGGCTGAACTAGATCCTGCAGATAATGCAAAGTTCACACACCTTTTTCAGATGCATTTCTTCATGTTTGCAAATAAGTGAGAACAGGAGAATCAAGACATCTGTGCATAGCACAATAGTAGAATTTCAACTTTATAGTTGCCAGTTAAAACCAAGCACTGCATTGGCACTTTATTGCCACTGCCATGAAAGGATTCTCAACATTTTCAGTTCAGAGGACCGTCCATCCACCCTCTCCTGCTTCCTGCAGACGCAGACTTATACTGTGTCTGAACTGAGTAAAACAGTCTTTACTGCTCCCCCACTTACACCACCAGGACAGTTGCTATTAAAAACCAGGCTGGGCTGAAGCAAACTGGCGACATTCTTTCTGTCTCCCTGGCAGAGAGTTGGAAGAAGCAGACTATGACCACAATGCTTGCTTTTAACTTCCTCCCATCACCTTTCTAAGGGACAGAGGCAGATGCTAAATGATCCCCCTTGCCAGCTGACTTAGTGGTTTGCCAGAATTGCTTCACAGGAAAATAGAGTGCGTGGTCATATAATGTTTGGTGTTAATCATTCACAGCCTTAAAGTATCTGCTGAGAGCAGTTGCTTTAAAGTTTAGCTGAAATTGATCTGTATAGAACAGAAAAGGTTGCTTCCCAGAGAGATTCTCCTCTAGTCAGAACTCAATCCTAGAACTTCCTAATTCTGTCTTCCGTTAGCCTCTCTTCTGTCAGTGGATTTAGGAAATAGACTGCTTGTCCACACCTCAGGTCATAACCCCTGTGCAAGGCAAGGTTGCCCTGAGTTTTACTGCTCTGTGACTCAGCTCACTATGAAAAGAAAATGGCTGCTGGGAAGCTTGAAAAAAAACCTTTCTGCTAATATTGATCTGGAAGACAAATGTCAAGGCAGAACTGGGAATGCCACATTTAGAACAAGTCAGGGTAGAGACAGAAAGACTGCAAAACCAAATCCAGAAAGAAACACCTTTTTAAAAACATGTAACAGCACATTTGCTTTTGAAAGATGAATTCACTATTTTAACTGGGTAGTGTGTTTTTGCTGAAGGCAACTTCCAGCTTTATAAATAGTCCCTCATCCATATTTCCAGTTTCTAAACACAAATGTTTCCCAGGCCACATCTAGGGTCCCCTGTATATTTGGTATGAAAAATTAAGAGTGGGACGAAGAGTTTCGGTGTTAATGTGCTTCTTTCAAAGAATTTTACTTCCTGGACAGCATTCAGTTGCATGCCTTCTATCATCTGTTGCCATAGTTACTCTTACAAATGCAAGATGTGAGAAGAAAGTGACCTTCTCACCGCCTGCTGTGAGTAGGCACCTCTGGTGTGATACATGCAACTCAGGCTTGCCCTTCTCCCTGTCAATGCTCCATTTTTTAGCACCGCCCTAATGGAACCAAGGGAAACCTTGCTTTCTTCCTGCAGTTACATAAAAAAAAAATAAATACCTGTCATCAGTTCTTTCTTTGACCCTTCCCAATTCTTTTGAACAGCAATGCCAGGTGGCTTGGGAAGCCCCCACCTTAGGTCACAAGGTCCTTAAGAAGAGGGCCCATCCCCTAGCCGTATGGCTCCAAAGAAGGTAGTATGCTTGCTCATGTTGATGGAGATGTCAGCGTGGACCATTTTCACAGCAATCTTCTGCCGAGCTTTGAGGAGACAAACCCCAGCTGTGTAGCAGGTGTTGAAATTGGTCTTTCCTGTTTCAATACTCCGAGTGCACTGCAGAAAGGGCTTTTCATCCACCACCACCTCAAAGCTGGCAAAATCTGTGAAGTTTATGTAATATACCTAATTGGAAGTGAACAAAAAAAAAACAGCGTCACCAGGAGAAAAAACCCTACAGGAACCATGTATAAGCGCATCGATAGTAGTGCTTGTTATTCAAACATAGAATAAATCACTCTTTAATGATGACAGAGGACATGGGCACCAGTCACTGAGGCAAGATCTCTCTCTCTCTCTCTCTCTCTCTCTCTCTCTCTCACAGACAGACAGACAGACAGACAGTCCAACAGAAAATGAATTCATTTGGTAAAACACACAATGATGGTTGAGCTGATAAGCAAAGATCCTTGAAACAAGCCTCATTTTGTCTACCAGATTATTTTCAAGGAAAACGTAAGGCATCCGTTGATTTTCCACTTCCATGGTCAGTGGCCTAACAAAGGAGTGTTGCTGGAATGCCCTCTCCTGAGGAATAACCCAACTCACACAAGAAAGATATGTAACCTCATTGGGAGAGATCTGAAAGTTTGCCAACTGTGCAAAATGGTTTCAGGCTGCTATATTCACAGACAGGTTGCAAGAGGAAGCAGTGACCCATCACGCTTGGAACAGTTTGTCTTGTCTTTTGAATGGGAGCCTTTCAAATCTCTGCCTGAGGACTTGGCCTGTCTTCTGCCAGTGAGCTTCCAGGTTCCTTGCCTGGTATTCATTCACCAACACCACCCTGAATTCTGTAGGAAGGTGTAGTTCAGGATATATAGTAGGATGACAGGTCAATTGCAAGAAGGGAAGGACAGGTTAGAACCGTCAGCTTACAAAACAGTTTTGTAGACATGCTCCAACGTCCAGCACAGGACCTGTGCAAATTCCACTGGCTTAAAGGCTGGGATTTGCAAACTTGAGGGGTGGGCTCTGAAAGTTGGCAGGACTACTTATAATTTTGTTTCATTTTTAAATTTTGTTATTTTTCATGTAATTATGGGGAGGGGGTAATTTTGAAGTAACAATATTTCTCTCAAACAAAAGAAAATGATCTGCAGTGTTTTTGTGGGTTGGTTTTTTTGTTTCCATTAGTAAAAGACCTATGGCACTGAAAAAGTGGTTTTCGTTTTGCTTTTTATTTGGGAGACGAAGTGGTGAGTGAATAAGCAGATGGGGCAGCCAAGAAGTGGGTACAGGGTTGAGGGGGTAAAGAGGGAATCCTGGCTATCAAAGAGGGTGCTTTGGAAATGACTTAAGAAATGGCATTCAGGCAAAGTGATGGCGAATGCAGAGAGATGCAAGCCAGGAGATGGGAGGAAGCTGGG